GGCGCTTGTGTTTCTGTGATATCACACGCCCAGCACAGCGACGTGCTGAGAGCATTGAGTCGACATTTATAACAGGCGAAGCAACACCTACTCGTCTGTTTCTCGCTTGTTTGGAGTCAGGCACAAAACTTTCAATTAGTCCCTTCGACATTTTTGAAAACATCTTTGAAGAGAATTCCCTCGTTCTTGTGTTCACCTGTCTATTTTCCACCCATTCATTCCAGTTCAGGGCCTCAGAGGGGCCAGGACCTATCCCAGCCAGAAACAGGTGGCAGGCAGGGTACGCCCTGGACAGGACGCCAGTCCAGCACAGGGCAGACACACACCTGGAGCAATGTTCCCAGCAGCCCGTTTACCTGTGGGAGGAAACCAGGGCACCTGGACAAAACCCACACAATTATGGGGAGAACATGCAGACTCCACACAGATGTGCTATCTGTGCAGGATCTGGAATTGAGCCCAGTGCCCCAGTGCTAACCACTTGACTCTCACCAGAATTAACGAGGGTGCCGATGAGTTTTCCAGAGAAGGCTTGCTGTGCAAGTCCAGGGACAGGCGTGGGGCCTCGGGTGAGTGTGTGAGTGTGTGAGTGTGTGAGTGTGTGAGTGTGTGAGTGTGTGAGTGTGTGAGTGTGTGAGTGTGTGAGAGTGTGTGAGTGTGTGAGTGTGTGAGAGTGTGTGAGTGTGTGAGAGTGTGTGAGAGTGTGTGAGTGTGTGAGAGTGTGTGAGAGTGTGTGAGAGTGTGTGAGAGTGTGTGAGTGTGAGTGTGGGGAGCCGGCCGCTGCTCATGCTGTCCTCTCCGGTCTCCCCTCAGGATCGTGCACCTGCACATGGACGAGTTGGGCTGCATCTCGCCGGGCTGCGCCGTGGTGGCGGGCGGCCTGGCGGGCATCGTGGCGGCCCTGCTGACGTACCCCCTGGAGGTGGCTGAAACCCGCCTCGTGGTCCAGAGCTGCCGGGACCCCTCCTACAGGGGGCTCGTGCACGCGCTGCGAGCTGTGCGCCGCCAGGAAGGGCTCCGCGCTCTCTACCGAGGGGCGTCGCTGACTGTCGTAGGTAGGCAGCGGCGTCGGCGGCCTCAGTGGTGTCAGCGGCTGTTTCTGGGTCGGCCTGCACCTGCCGAATTCCTCGACCGCTCAGAGCTGAGCGCGCTCGTCTGGGCTGCAGAAGGGACGGTCACGCCCGGCTCTCGGAGCTGTCTGTGGCCGTCCGGGCCTGCTCCGAGCAGCTCCTGTTGCTGCCTGCGGGAGAAACTCCTTGTCTCCGGTAGCCAGACTGGTGTTTATTGCCTTGTGCCTGTTCCTGGGGGATCTGGGGTTTGTGGAACCTTGTGGAAAGAGAAACTGTAAACAGCGCTTCAGCTCGGAAAGAGAAAAACCCTCATTCACCATGAGGATACAGACTGTCCGGAAACCTCATGGATGTCTTCTGGACGAAGCCACTTAAATCCCTTGTTTGGCTGGAAAAGAATCGAGGGGAACACCTTTCTGAGATCGTACTGGGATGATCAGGGCAGGTGCAGGCTGGGACTGCGTATATAAACCCATGCGTTATGTGATATTCTGACAGGTGCCAACGCTGTTTAATTAATATATTTGAACACTTGCAGGAGACTGGCGCCTTGTGCTTGTGTAGGATTCAGACAGTAAGGGAATCCCTCTGAACTGAAGAAAGCAGTGTTCAGCAGTACAGTGTCTTGAGACTGCTAACGGAGAGTTGTGAGGTTTTGCAGGGTGGCGTTTGTGTGTGTGTGTGGGGGGGGTGTCTCGCAGTGTTTTGTAAGTGACTGTACAGGGACTGAGACTGATGAAATCATTTTAATGTCAGTCATTAACATGGACTTTAAAGGGTCCTGAAACAACTCTAATCGTCTTGACTTGAACCTGAAGGTGTCAGTAAGGGAATGGAGACGCAGTCACAGGACCTGGGAAAATAAACAAATGTTTTATATTTAACCAATGATTCAATTTATCCATCAGCTTTTGTCATTGTCATCTGATTTCTAGAGCTAAAACGGTTTCTCTTTCGGAAACACAAGATGGAAAAATGTGCCACGGCCGTGTTGACTCATGCTCGCCATCTGGGTGTCGTCCCCCTGGGGTCCTGGCTTCAGGGTGCCTTTGTGAAGAGCGGACAGCCGCTCGTCTCTGGACTGTGTCCCTCTGGGAGCTGGAGGCACTGGGAGCCTCATTCCTGCTCCTTTTCCATTGCAGGAGCAATTCCCTTTTCCCTGGGCTGCTACGTGGTCTACGTCAACCTGGACAAACTGTGGCGAGAGCCCAGCTCCCACCTCTCCCCGGGCCAGGACTTCGTCAACGGCTGTGTGGCCGCAGGGGTGGCCCAGACGCTGTCCTTCCCCTTTGAAACCGTGAAGAGGAAGATGCAGGTCAGTATGCCAGCCTCCCACACCTTCCTCTTCCTCCTCCTTCAGCGGCTTTCTCTTCGTTCTTCATTACTGCCTTCTTTATTCTCCCTATGAAACTGCGGCTTGAATTGCTGAGTCTTTAGAAATATTCACACTTTTTTTTCCAGATAGAATTTCCTCCTTTCGACGTCGCTTCCTTCGCCACTGCTGTACTGGGTCCAGCCACTAGATGGCTCCCTCCTACTTCAAACCACACTAGGTTCACATTGGTAGCACCGAACACACCCGCACAGCAGTACAAATGTGATCCAGAATTTTAAATCTAGTACATTACTGTGTGTAGAATGCCACTATAATATAATTGCTTTAGTTACACAGAATTAGAATATTGAATTCAGAATAATTTCTATTCTCAGAATATACAGGATTAGAATTTCCGAGTATTTCTTTATTGCTTGTTTATTGAGCCAGATTCACCTTTTTGCAAGTCCTTAACTTATTCTTGCACTGTTCAAGTGCTGCACTAAAAGTTTCGAAACATCTGTTTACCTCATTAGAAAACTCAAGATGGTGTTCATTAATTTGTCAATAAAAGATAGAATTGGCGTACTTCAAAAAGTGGAACCGAGCAAAATTTTTTTTAATTAAAACTAAAATTATTACTGGAAAAGCTCTTCATGTGAAGTGGCAACAGCATAGTGTTCAGATGGAAAGTGAGGGTGTATTCCGTGCTGGAAGGAGAAGAAAAACAAACTCCGGTTCAGTTGAGGATATTGATACTCTTGGAAGAGCAGTGAGGTGGTGTGCAATAGACTCCTCGGTGTCTATACCTCTGCGGTCACACAGCGCAGTCATTCACCCTGCCACGAGGACAAGCAGGGGCGAGGACAGTCTTCCTGTCTTCTGGGAGACAATTGGCCATATCCAAGCTGAGAGAGAGAGGAAGACAGTAGCACTTGTTGCAGAGAGCACTCAGGCAGCTGAGAATGTGCAAGTTATTCTGAGCGCCTCTCAGCTCTATAAATAACATTTTGAAAGTTCACATGATGCCCATTAGGCTGCACCGCAGTAGTGGTACTGTGCACTGACATATACAATTCTATGTGTGAAGGTCTGAGCTGGTTGGGATTTAGACAGACTTTGAGAGAATCTGAGCTCTCCTGGACAGATCTTATTGTCACCCTAAACAAACAGCTGGCCAGAAACAGTCTATAGGAAGCAAATGTAAATGCACAGCCCAGTACCTGATTTCAGCCACATTCTCGTTGACTGATTTGTTCATTAACGCACCCCTCTTTTAGAAACAAACCCAGTTTCGGCACTGTTACCCAAGGGCAGATGACCAGGCTTGTCCAGCACAGACTCTGCCCCAGGTTGTGTGTTTGTGAGCTGGAGGTTCCGCATGATTCTTCTCCAAACCGGGAACAGTGGGTGTGGCTGGTTTAAAAAAAACAGCCTTTTCGGGTTGTGCCGTCTTCCGACTTGTCTTGTTACAGTACGTACACGATGCATTCCACCTCTGACTCAGCCAGCAGTGAATCACAGTGCTTCTGGGGACATTCCTTTGTGGAAAAACAAGGCATTTCACTTCAGCAGTGTGTGGATCAGATAAGTTCACTTTATTGGCTATATACAATTTCTTGCATTAGGAATTTGTCTTTTTGCAGACCCCAGCTTGCTCTCTATGAGACACACAGGCACACAGACGGGGAGAGAGAAGCTTGGGGTCAGAGCGCAGGGTCAGCCATTTATACGGCGCCCCTGGAGCAGTTGGGGTTAAGGGCCTTGCTCAGGGGCGCAACACAGTAGGATTCCTCTGCCTCTGAAACTTTAGGATTCAATTTCAGACTGAAAAATGGCATAGCAAGTCATGCAGGTCTGATAAGTACAGCATGGACCACATGGTATTGAAAACATCCACATGACAAACCGGGACAAACGGATGCATTGTGGGAAATTGTTTCTAACCTTTTTATTTAATGGAAAGACAACATGATCAGATCATAGTACACCAGCTCTATCTCAATCTGCATGAGGTGTTGGCTTTTTACTAATGCCTTCAGTGTCTCCACCTTTCTGTAATTCATACTCACGAACCTCCAGACAGAAACAGTGAACTGGTGGAGATTATTCAGTGCGATACTTCTGACAGAAAACAGAAACCGAGGCTGAAGTTTGCCAGCCTGAGTGAAACACTGCAGGGCTGTCTTGTCTGAGGTCCCAGGAAGTTCCTCATTGCCTGGTTCACCAGCGTGTCTCTGCAGGCCGTGAAACGTTGACCTGTGACCCGGGTGATTTGAAACCCCCGCCGCATCAGCTGACGTGACTGTTTAGGACAGGCGAGCTGGGACTGCTGAGCTGAGCTCGTGTTCTCTCTGCTGCAGGCCCAGAGCGCTGTCCTGCCTCACTGCGGGGGAGCTGATGTCCACTTCACGGGGGTGGTGGACTGCTTCAGGCAGGTGATCAAAGCCAAGGGCGTTCTGAGCCTGTGGAGTGGCCTCACTGCTAACCTCGTCAAGGTAGGCACTCTGGCCCCAGTCTCCTGACGGAGAACGAGTTGTTTTTACTGCACACCCCCTGAGTGATACCCGTTCGCATGTGTGTCTTTGAGCTGTGCTGTTTTCAATTTGATTTGTCTAATGCAACAATATCAGACTCAGCTGTCTGCTGGCTGCTGGCTGGAGGAGAACACCATTCTCCGCTCATCCTCCTAGGAGCTTCCTAGTTTCTGCACCAGTAAGAGAAGATCACTTTATTGGCCATATGCAATTTCTTGCATTAGGAATTTCTTTTTTGCAGACCCCAGCTTGCTCTCCATGAGACTCGCAGACAGGGAGAGAAGCTGGGGGTCAGAGTGCAGGGTCAGCCATTGATACAGCACCCCTGGAGCAGCTGGGGTTAAGGGCCTTGCTCAGGGGCCCAACGGAGTAGGATTCCTCTGCCGGCCGCGGGATACGAACCGGCAACCTTCCAGTCACAGACGCAGATCCTGAGCCACAGAGCCACCGCTCCGCCCTGCCACCCCCTAGTACTTTTGCTTATAGGGCTTTAACTCCTTGTATGTCCAATGTCTTCTGGACTTGAGCTCAGAAATTTCCAGCAGGCGATGCAGAGGTGCAGTGAGAGACCGAAGTGGAATATTTACCTGACTCCGCTCCGAATTTGATTCCATGCATGTTGTTGGCTCCATTAATCCCTGTGTGGTTTATGGAACAACTAAAGGAGCAGAGTGCCTGAGGGACAAAGATCTGTATCCCCCTGTCCAGATCACGTCTGAGCCCTTCACGGCCTTTTACACCCTCCTCTTGTTTGGCCTGCTCCAGACAGAACAGGGTTCGATCAATGGGTTCAATAGGCTGGATCAATATTCTCTATCTGCTGCTACAGCAGTGTGCTGCGAAACAGTGGCCTCGGGCTCTCCCTCCTGCAAGATTAAGATCTGAAGAATGAGAGCACAGCCCCACCCCACCCATGCATACCAGGCAGCTCCTGAATGAAACAAGAGCTCAGCAGGTTTCATTAAGGTGTAACCAATTACAGTCGACTCAGTCACCTTGAAACTGTTAAAACATGAGACGCTCGTCTGCAGAGGAGTTTACTCATCTCTGCTGACCAGCCTGAACTAATCAGCTGGGATGGTTGTGAGCATTTCTACACACAGTGCATTGCAGAGGCGGAGCAGAGCGCAGCCCTGACAGATAACCTGGGCATTTAAATCCATTTTCCTGGTTCACTCCCTTGTACCCTGAGGTACCTGAACAGCAGGATTCCGTTGAGTCTTTTAACCACGAGCGTCCTAGTCTGCCGACGAGGGCAAGAAGCGAGATGTTCATTCATTAGCGTGTCAAAACACCGGGAGCGCAGGGTGACCTCCAAGTGAATCGGAGGACCGCAGTGGAATGCTGGCCCATTAAACCGCGTGGATTGCCCAGATCTTTTGGGATTAGCTGTTCTTACTCGCCCTGTTGTTTGGCCGCAGTTCCTGGACTTTTCCCCTGGGAGGTAGCCGACGCACAAGTGGCTGTGCGCTCTGCTCTGAAGCGACAACGCTGCCTACAGTGCGGCGCCTCTCCTCCAGTTTCTGTCCCGGAGCCACCTTCTCCTGGATGGACTCCAAACACGGTGAACTCAGCCTCTCAAAGTCCGAACTCCTTTTCCTTCCCCGCTTGGAGCTCTCCAGGAGTTGGCTTCTCCTGGCTCCACCCTCTGCCAAGAACTCCGGCGTCCCTCTCCGACCCTCCCCTTCCTAATCCTAACCAGGAATTTAAACCGGAATTCTTTCTGTCCGGAGTCGGAGCTGCTCACTCACTGACCACCTTTCAGCTCTCCTGACCCGTTCATCCACACCAGCAGCTCCCAGCCCTGATCCCGGAAAACAAAATACCTGCTGGTCTCTGGGAAACCTGAGCACTCCATTAAATAACTGCACTCTTGATAGACCCAATGCGTTCAATTTGAATTCTTTGTTTTCGATTCCTAAACAGGTAGGAGGTTGCCTTGTAACTTTCGCTTTTCCCAACTGGCTTCAGATCTCAACTCTTTGAGAGCAGAGGTTCTAAACCAGCGACTTAGAGATCTATGGAAGTAAAGAGCAGGTGTGGGGGTCCCCAAGACCTGCTCTGCTCCACTTATTGGTGCTTTGTATCCCCACTGTCTGTATATGCCTGTTATTGCTTTAGTTATTACTCTTTCAATTTTTGTATTGCAAATCCAGAGTTATCTTGCCTGTTATACATGTAACCCTATCTACAGTACCGGCTCCTTTGCAGTTACACCTAAAACGCTGTATACATTGTAAGTTGCCTTGGATAAGTGCGTCTCCTGAGCAAATAATAATACTGTAAATAATTCCGAATGGGATTCTGTGCACTATTTTGGATGCAATCTTCAGGTTAAAAAAATATGATAAAAAGAAATCATTTAAGGGCTGGGTCTCTTCCCAGTCCCACAAGAAGGTTATTTAGCAAAAGTCCTGAATAACAGGTTAACATGCAAATATGTCCACTAAATGAGCTCATCTGTGGTCCCACTTTGGAAACTTCTGTATCACTGGATATTGATGACTTTACTGTGTAGACTGCCTGACGTAAACGTAAGGTTTTTTAATGTACGAAAAGCGTAGGAATCTTCCACTCACCTGCTCCCTACTGTCGTTTCCCTCCAGATCGTTCCCTATTTCGGGCTGCTGTTCAGCTCGTTTGAGTTCAGCAAGCAGGTGTGCCTCTACAGGAATGGCTACATCGTGTCTCCACTGAGCTACCAGCCGGCCCCCGGCGTGGACCAGAGTCTGGGGCCCCACGAGCTCCGGGAGGTGCAGAGGTACCTGCGGAACAGGAACTTCCGCTCGGAGCAGCCGGCCATGAGGGGCTGAGGGGGGGCCCTGTCGGCACCCCCTTTCTGAAAGGCACTGAGGACTGAGCAGCTGGCACAGGAGGACAGGGCTCCTCAAGACAAGGGGAGACGAGGGGAGTGTGGCCGCCAGTCCCAGTTATACATACCTGCAAACATACTGTTTCCAGCTGTACTCCCTGATGCAGGTAACACTGCATTTTACACGTTTACTGTGTCAAACATTACGTGCAATAATTTTGATGTTTTGCTATTTACCTGCCAGACCTCTCGCACTTACACAGTGCTATGCATTACCTGTTCCATTGTGCTGTAGTCAGAAGTGTCTCGTCTGTAGTGCACTCTGCATTATCCGGCGTGCTTTTCTGTGTTTTCTGTGTTGTGCGATGCACCGATCACGGTTTTGTCCCATTCAGATCTCATGGTAAAACTGCACATTTTGAGACGCTGAAAGGGTATATCGCTAAAAGCATGACCGACGGACAGGAATCACTTGTACACACACTGGCGGTGCCCCGGTAAACATATGCTAAACGTGCACAGTTAACAGTGAAATCCTCGATCTTCTGATCAGCCAGTTAGCCACTGGCAACCTAACGAGCTAAATGGGCCAAATCGGCTGTCCATCGTTTGTAGTTTTTTATGTTCCAAACATTTAGCTCCTCGCTGTTTATTTCCAAATGTTGCACTCTGTGCAATGAGCTGAGAACAGTGTATTAAGAGCTTTTAATTGACTTACCCATCTGTGCCTTGCTTGTGACTTCACAGTGAAATAAGGACCACATCACTTCTGAGATGTTTTGGTCACTTACGTTACAGGAAAGATTGAAAATCTCCAGTATTTTATACTTGAAACTCCTGAGAAGTACAACGAAAGCACTTTGCTCCTACAGTATGCCACGGAAGCAGGAGGTCACGTTCCAAAAGCACATGGCCGCCAGGGACAAACACAGGCGTTGTGCAAGAGAAGCACGCTGCTGTGTTGTCATCTCAGACCTGGAAGGGCCCGCCAGTGCCGGGTTTCGTCATTTCAGGAAGAGCACATGAAAATCTAAAGTATTCTAAGATTGCAAAGGTTTTTTTTTTTTTATATTGCACAGCTTGGCGATGCCAAATAGTATTTTCCAAATGTAAAAATTCACCCGTCATGCTGTCGATGTCCTCACTGTTGATCAACAGTGTTTTACAAAGAGGCCGAGCGCATCCCTTAATGTCGCCCATCCGTTGCGCCTCCTGAGGACAGGTACAGAGTAAGACACACTTCCTCGGCCGTGCTCGACTGCAGCTCTTTCCTCTCCCGGTGCGGAGGGCCGTGTGGCTTCAAGGTCGCTCGCTGTCCTGCGCTGGTGTGTAAACACGGCGGGCGCCTGCGGCGTTGCACGGGGACAGAGGGTGCCCGGGGTCACCGTGCACCTCGGCACCCACAGGAGAGCCACGCCCACGAGCGTGTGGAGAGACACTGCAGTGCATGGGGGTGGGCAACTGAAAACAATGGGAAAAACACCTAGAGATATCCTGATCTGCCAGCGCAAGACGCCAGAGGTGTAAACCGAACGCAGGAGCATTAATAAAGACCCTTCAGTCCCACGTACTGTAATGGCGTGTGTGTGTTCATCATTGTGTGTCTGCGCTTCCTCCTTGCATCTCTGTGACATGTGTGGTTCCAGACCTGCCTCGAGTTTGTACGTTCTCCCCATCTTAGTGCTGGGGTCCTTCCCACGATGCAAAGACGTGCTGGCAGGTTAATCGGCGTCTGGGGAAACTGTGTCCCCCGTGGGACGGACTGGCACCCTGTCCTGTATTGGATACAGCAGTTTAAAAAAATAAATAAATCGGTGCACGTTCACGTTCTTAAATTTAAGATTTTTTTTTAATTTAAAGAACAGCTTTAGAAACTTCAGTTTTCAGGGACGGTGCAGTCCTTGATCTTCCTTTCCATGTGTCCCACGGGGGGAATTGGACTGGCTTCCTCGGTTGGGAATGATTTCCCTTGGTTGGGCTGTATCCCGTGGGCCAGGTGGGAGTCCCACGGAAACTATATATGGATCCTTGATCCCTCTGCTTCCTTAGGACTTGTCGGAGCTGCTGCTGCACCTGCAGTGGGATTATAGGGGCGCTGTAAGCCGCAAACTGCGCCTCCTGTTGTAGCCGGAAGGTCGTCAGTCACCCGAGGAAAGTGGGAAGGGGTGGAAAATCCTCAGAACGGCAGGATCCTTCCAGGCCGATCTCTGTTCTAGTCCTGGTCCGAGAGGCAGTAACCCACTGGCTCCACGCCGAATAATGAAATCATCCCTGAGGATATCCGAGTCGACGTCCCTGTCCTACAGGCCTGGTTTTGCGGGGAGATTATTTCACACGGCACGTTGGGATTTGATTCATATTCCGTGGTTTGAGCACGACTTTCACACTTTGCACACTCGTGTATGTGTGTCTGCATTCTGACTTGGCTTTTTAAAAAAAAAAAGAGGTATAGAAATGTTGATGAAATTATTTATCCAACGAATCGTCGATCCATTTTGTCAAATCACGGGCGTGCAATTCAAGTGGCACTTAACCCTTCTCGGGAAGTCTGTAATGAAGTAGTTCAGAGCGAACACAAGAAAGGGCTGGTCGATAAAGGGACAGGTGATCTCACAGGAGCAAGGGAAGCAGCTGGAGGGTTTGAAGGTGACCTGCCAGACACCAGCAGTGTCGACTTGCAGGAGAACTACTCTCGTCACGGCTGTGAACTCGCACAGGCCGGTCTCGATGACGCCTTACCGGGGGGGTGAAAGGGCGTTTTCTGTACCCAAGCACGAGGAGGGTAGAGGTTGTTATTATTAACCACGGTCACGGGTCAGGGTTTCGACCAGGTCGACCTTGACAGCGCACGGCCGCTACAAATCAGGCCTTAGCCAAGCCGCCTTTCTCGAACCGTCGGCCTCTCCCGTCCTCATTTAAGCGCCGAGTCCAGCGACACGGCCGTCATGCTTTTTTGTAAAAAAAAAAAATACAGTTTCAATATAGTTCCAAACGTTTGTTTAACGATGAAACTTACTGGACTCTGCCACAGGCGCAGCTTTTGTATATAGCCGGCGTCTGTTACCAAGGGGGGAACGAGTTTATGAATGCATCACACATGAAACTATTGACATGTTGCTGTGAAAGCTGTGACGAGGTTGGACTGGATTCCGCTTACTATATCTCCCTCCCTGCCCAGCGTTGTTTCTCGGTTACTTAGTAACCTTTCTTCTCAGACGTCATCGTTGGAATTCTCTCATTGTCTCCGCCCCGGGGACGCGCGCGGGGGACCAATCACGTTCCGTCCCGCGGCGCTCGCGCGGCGTCTCGCGATCCCTCCTGTCTTAAAGTCTATACTTCGCCCGTCGGATCGGCCATTTCGACCGAACCGGTGTAGAGCTCCGAGCTTGCGGCTGTTTTCTTTTCATTTCCCTCCCCTCCCGGTGTAGCACTTCTCCCTCTCACAATGACCGAGACCGCGATTTCGTTCGCCAAGGACTTCTTGGCCGGAGGTATCGCCGCTGCCATTTCCAAAACAGCTGTAGCGCCCATTGAGAGAGTCAAGCTGCTCTTGCAGGTAAGCGAGTTGTGCAGCCGGCCGCTCCGGTGTGTGTGTGTGTGCGGGGGTAGCCCTGCTTCCTGCTCGGGGTGCCTGCGCTGTTCAGTGCTGTGCTGTGATTAAGGGTTGGCTGTGGTTACGTAACCTCTCCCTTACGGCGTGCAGAAAGCCTGGGAGTATTCGCCTGTCTGGGGAATGGACAGGGGGAGCGCCGAGACGTGTCCCAGTCGGCAGGCGAGGTGGACCGCTCGCTTGCGGGGCTGGCGGCCGCTGGGCCCCCCTGGCCCAGCCGCGGTACGGGGGTGCCGTGCCGTACCCCCCTGGGGGGGGTCACCGCCAGCCAGATCGCGCTCCGAGTAGGGCGGCGGGTCCGCTTCGCGTTGCCCGGCGCTGTCTGAGGGGAGCCAAGGTCGCGGCAAGGGGGAGGCCCTGCAGCTGAGGCTGGGAGGCGCGAGGAGGACGCCGGGATCCTTTGTCCCCGGAGTGGGAGAGTCGGGGGGGGGTCTGTCCGGGAGCGTCACGTGAGCAGTCCCCCTCTTTTTTTTTTCCGCCCCCCGAAGGCTCGTCTCTCTGTGGCGGTGTCTAGAAGTCGCCCCTCTCTCTCTCTCTTCAATCTGAAGGCCCTTTTTTAAACCACGTGCCCTTGCCGGCATCTTCTCCATTTTGAGTCGATCGCGACCGGGGCGAGGTGTGCCCGCGGCCGGAAGGCGGAAAGCGCCGGCCGCATCCGTGGCGCGTCCTCGGCCCGCTCGGGTTTTGACCCCACGTCCTCTGAAGGTCACCCCCGCCTTGTCAGCTCGGTTGCCTTTTCTTTTCTGGGGGAGACGGCGGGGGGGGTTAGACCGGGAGCTTCCGAGCGTAAAGGCGCGTCTGCCTGGAGCGTGACGTCACGGCTCGGCGTGAAGACCCGCCCCCGGGCCGGCATCTGCTTCCGGGATCGGTCTTAAACTGCGTGGAAGTGACCTTGTGATGCTGCCGCAGTACCCCGCGCGAATAACGCGTGAAGACCGGATGTGCAGAAGATGATAACTTAAAGAGCTGAATGGGAGCGAGGTACCCCACCCCGGGCCTCCACAGTACTGAGTGTTTTCCGTTCCACCCCCCCTGTGCAGGTCCAGCATGCCAGCAAACAGATCACGGTGGAGAAGCAGTACAAAGGCATCATGGACTGCGTGGTGAGGATCCCCAAGGAGCAGGGCTTCCTGTCCTTCTGGAGGGGCAACCTGGCCAACGTCATCAGGTACTTCCCCACCCAGGCCCTCAACTTCGCCTTCAAGGACAAGTACAAGAAGGTCTTCCTGGACGGCGTGGACAAGCACACCCAGTTCTGGCGCTACTTCGCCGGGAACCTGGCGTCGGGCGGCGCGGCCGGGGCCACCTCGCTGTGCTTCGTGTACCCGCTGGACTTCGCCCGGACGCGGCTGGCGGCCGACGTGGGCAAGGCCGGGGCCACCCGCGAGTTCGGCGGCCTGGGCGACTGCCTGGTCAAGATCTTCCGGTCGGACGGCCTGCGGGGCCTGTACCAGGGCTTCAACGTGTCCGTGCAGGGCATCATCATCTACAGGGCCGCCTACTTCGGCGTCTACGACACCGCCAAAGGTACGCCGCCGGCCCCCCAGCCCGCGTGACCCGAGCGCGCTCGCCCGAGGAACGCTGCCCGCCTCTCGCGGAGGTGCGATGGGTTCTCAGTTCTCCTGTCTTCTGTCCCCCCCCTTCCCCAGGGATGCTGCCGGACCCCAAGAACACGCACATCGTGGTCAGCTGGATGATCGCCCAGACCGTGACGGCGGTGGCCGGCCTCACCTCCTACCCCTTCGACACCGTCCGGCGTCGCATGATGATGCAGTCCGGGCGTAAAGGAGGTGGGTTCGGACCCTGGCGGGTCGGGTCGCTTGGGTTTGGGGGTGGGACAGTGGGAGGTGGAGCCCCCTGTTGGGGAGCAAGACCCTGAGGAGCCACAGGCACAGGGGCGTCCCCTTTTGGGGTTACTCCCCAGTGCTGGCGGGGTCCCGTTAAATGTCATGGCGCCTGAACCGAGTGATGGTGCGTTACTTCGGGGGGGGCGGGTCTTGCTGTGCCTGTTCTGTTGGAGAAGTTGAACGGGGGTGTAGCGGTAGGAAAGGTGGCGCCCCGTTAGCCTTTCTGTCCGAGCCGCGCGGCGTGCTGACCCGTCCCCCTCCCTCCCTCCCGCAGCGGACATCATGTACAGCGGCACGGTGGACTGCTGGAAGAAGATCCTCCGGGACGAGGGCGGCCGGGCCTTCTTCAAGGGCGCCTGGTCCAACGTGCTGAGAGGCATGGGCGGCGCCTTCGTGCTGGTCCTGTACGACGAGCTCAAGAAGGTCATCTAAGCGCGTCTCTCTATTTTTTTTTTAAGCCCGACGGGTCAATGTTGTGAAACGGTGTGAAATGTAACATATCTTGTACATTCTGGAAGGACTGTCACGGATTCCGCCTTATTTATAGGGACCAGCTAGTATGTCTGTACTAGTTGAACTGGGGGAGACACTTTCCTTATTTTATTTTTTTTCCCCTCCTACCTCCTCCCCCTGCCAGTGTCATTCCCATACAGAAAGAATGTGGGACTCGGGAGCTCTACGTGTTTCATCCAGCCGGTCTGTTTTTAACCCTACTCTTTAATAAAAACAACCTGATGAATGAACCTACTTTTAGCGTACTGGTGGTACTTTGTCCTGAACATGAAAGGTTTCTCGGACGGACGATGCGATCGAGGTCCTCGGGCTGGGCTTCCGCGCTGTTTCTCCTCTGGGATCCGGCTTGATTATTGGAGTGGTCTCGGCATTCCTGGCAGCGTGTCTGGGAATGGTGCTGGGGACCAGGGGGTCTGTTGAACCACCTGGAGGAAGGAGCAGTGGGGATTAGGATGTACGTGCTGCAAAGACTCTGGGACAAGATGGGAGACTGCTGACAGGCGTGAGCTGATTGACTGCACTTGCTGAAAGCCCCTCTGGGCTCTGAGCTCGGGCCAGAGCAAACCGCGAGAAACCTGATCCGAGTGGCATGTGAGCATGTAGCCCTCCCCCGCCTGGACAGTGGGAAGGGGTGGGATCTGTGAATGTTGCTCAGGAGTACACTGGACTTCCACCCGTCTTGAGGGATTACTCTTTAAAAGCAGCAGGAGAGCCAGGAAGTGATCAAAACCGCCCGTGTGGAGCAGCCTGCTTTATCAAAGCGTGAACAGAGTCTCTCTTCCGTGGTGGTACTGTGGCAAATGTGTAAATTGTAAGGATGAAAACGAATATGGTAGTTTTCCATTTAACAGTAAGAATGCAAACTGAGAAGTGGTTGTCTGTCTCAGCTGGAACGTTTGGGTACCCGTAGGTTAATAACCTAGTCTCACCTAGTTCTTTCTTGGAAGAAGTCAGGTTATTGTGTTTGACAACAGGGAAGTAGCTTGTTCTTTCCTTTGTGTAAAAGAGGGAGTGTTCTGTCTTTTTAGGTTTTTACTTGTGACATTCTCAGACTGTCATGGGGTTTATTAACCACACTATCAGGAAAGTTGTTACTGCAGTCAACTGCAGCCTACAACCACGAGGCTGGAGCTGGTTGTAGTGACCTCTTAACAGGATAACAGACTTAGTGACAGCCTCCACACAGTGGCTTTGAACAGAGTGCCAACTGTGTCAGCTGGCAACACTCACCAATGCCCTTGGACAAAAGTCCTGCCGTGGTGACCAGAAAAACATCATGTACAGTAGGTTTGTCTTGTTGTTTTTCAGGCTATTGGGGGATTTTTTGCAGTTATTTCTTCATGCACAGGTAGTGAAAGAAACAGGATCAGAGCCGGGCAACTGTATTGCCTTGTATGATAGTATTGGGGATGAGTGAAGTGGCCACAGAACTTTACACTCTGAGCCCCCTAAAACTAAACTTTTGCCAGCTGTGTGTGCAAATAAAGCTTGAAGGTTCTGTACAGACTTGTAATAAATGACATATCCTTCCCCCTACCGCACACAGAGAGAGACAGCTCGGCGGGCTTCACTTTTCCGACCCACAAGAGCCGACACCTTGAGGCTTTGTTCTGGCCTGTAGGATCCCTGCTTTTAACATTCCTGCTGCACGGGGGTGCAGGGGAGAAAGAAATCCGGGCTGGATTAGCGAACTGTGGATGGGATTAGGGCTGTAACTCCTTAATATAGCCCGCGCCTCGCGGCCCTGCCCCCCCAGCTCGTGGTTCTGCAGAGCCCTTGTCGTGACCTTGTCATGTCTGCAGGCCGTGCAGCGACTCTGCCCGTGCTGGAGATCTCCGCTGCCTCGGGCTCGCTCTTCCACTGCTGCTGTGTCCCCGGGCTTCTCTGGAGACCCTCAGCTGGCCGGGTTCAGCAGCCTGGTGTGAGACGCACAGGCCCACGCTGGCGCCCCACGGAGGAGACTGCTCTCGCTCCTTCGGCCCGGCAGCCCCCTCTGCCTCGTCGCCCTGCTCCCCCGTGCAAACCCACAATCCCTTTCCCGGCGCTTCGCGACAAGTCGCGGACCGGAGTCCTGGCAGAACTGAAGAGCGCTGAAGAAGACCCATGCCTCTGGTCAGCCATGAGACAGCAGACAGTCACCCCCTGCCTTCAGGAGACGAGCTGGCCCTGGGCTCGTCCCTCCCAGCAGCAGGGGAAGCCACATTCGAAGGGGCCCGAGCGGAGTTGATCAGAGCCGAGTCCAGTTCGCCAGCTCTGCGTCCACAGCACGCCCCACCGGACACACGCTGTGCGAAGGGGCTGTTGGAGCTCTTTGCTTTGCAAATTACAGCACCGGGGAGAGAAAAAATGAAACCCAGCTTTCATCGATACGATTCCTTTCCCTTTCCCAACCGCTGTAGCCAATTCGGGGTCACGGGGCAGCGGGAGCCTATCCCAGCAGGCAGCGGGCACAAGGCGGGGCGGGTGGCTGGACGGGGCACCTGTCCATCGCAGGGCAGCCACAAGTCTTCTGTCACCTTTGATATCACGGCTGCTGGGAGACCTGATGCGGGTGTCATTCCGCTGACACAGCTGTGTTTCCAGGCGGTGGGAAGCGCTGTAAATGTTCACTCAGGACAGCTCGTGTGACGAGACGAAGGCTGGGACACTGGCTCGGCATTTGGTAACTAACATTTGGCTCTATATTCCCGAAGGGCCGCAACCGGAGAGAAACACTTTCCGGCTGAGGGCTCGCATCCGACAGCAGGCTCCGAGGCGCGGCGGGAGGGCTGCGCTGTTGCATAACAGCTCCGGGCTCCGCCGCTGCAGGATGACGTCACCCGCAGCCGCAGAGCGCCTCATGGAAGAGTTTCGGTTCCGCTCCTAATTGCCAGCGCAAGAAAACTCTGTCCGCTTGACGCGAGTCACACGAAAACTCGCAGTTCAATGTGCATCTTCACGTACCGGAAACGCAAGAACTACCAGTCTTTGAAGACATTTTGGAAAAATAATGCTGGACAGCCACGCAGTCTCATTTCAGTTTGACAATGACAAAATGTAGCCTCCCTGCTGGCCTGTTACGGGGCGTGAGGAATGCAATCAGGGGGTCTCTGGGTCTCCCCAAGATACTGTGCAATAAGCGAGACTCGAGACCCCTCGGCTTCCGGGTCCAATCGACTCCGAACGCACGAGATTCCCAGCGCCTGTGACGCAATAATGAACCATGGAAGTGAGGCGGCGGCCCGACCGGAACACCACGTTCCCGTGGCGGGGTCGGGCTGTGACGTGTCTGCGGCTGACGCCGTCGCCCAGGGCGAGGTGACACGGGCACACCTTGACAAAGTCGAACTGGATCGGAGTGAAGTGCTCCAGGGTGTGACAGCAGTGTCTCCGCTGCGACTGGAATCCCTCACTTCACTCCGATGTCGTGCGATTCGTAAATCCAGATTCCTAACCACTGCTCTCACTAGCGCGTTGCGTTCAGGCACCCCATTAATTAAGCGGGCACGGTTCCTTATTCTTTCAAGCAATCGTCACATTACCGGCCTGCGTGGTGCAGGGGTTCCGTTCGAGTCGGATTCTGTCGTAAATGAATGATTTTATACAGATCCGCTCCAATAGCAACGATCAAAACGCTTCAAGAGCCCAGCTGTAAATGAAAGACTTCTCTTCCGAAGGCGGGACGCGTCGAAGTAAAATAATTCAGGTGGGGAGCTGCGTCAGCATGCGTAGGCAGCAAAGGAACAAATAACAGGTTTATTCCCTGCTGAAAAGAGAAGAAAGAAAACACAACGTTTCGGCCGCGGAGCCTTCTTCAGGTGTGAGAAAGACAGGGCAGTAAGCAAAGGTGATATAGGTTAATGTAAAATAATGTATACCTGCCACTTCGTCATTCGCAAAAGCTATTCGTTATTTTACCTTTGGAGCAAGTCCAAAGCCATTCTATTAATTAATCTATTAACAATTCATCAAATAAATCAGAACAAAGCACTCCAAAAGGAAACTCTGTAGTGTTTGCTCTGATGGTCTGAATCTTGTTCTTATTGTTGATGTTATTACTGTGAGTAATAATACTGTTGTCTCCCGTGAAGGTGACCCTGCGGTGCTGTGTTTAGTAGCTCAATGTGATGTGTGTGGACATCAGGAAGAGCGCTGCCTAATAAGGAGAGCTCATACGATTAGTTAAAGCTTAGAGTCTACGTCGGCTACACGCAACTGCGCCTCTCTACCAACACTTCTGAAGGTCTCACTCCGGGAAATGGAACTGCGTGACAGAGCGCCCCCTTGTGGTCAGAAGTGTTTGGTCTCTCTAAAGCAGGCCACCTCAAAATACAGTAAATCTGCGATATGCAATTAAGTAACTTCTTAGCACGAAGGCTCTTGCTGTTATGTTCTTACATCCTTATAACCAAAGAGAAATCGGCATTAAGGAAAAAAATATATACCCAGCACGAACCTTTATTGCTGTTTATATGTAGTAGTAGAAACAATAAAAACTGATAATAAAAATGACTTCATGTAAGAATGTAACTGAATAATGAGAATGCCCATTACAGAAATGTTAAACACACTATTATTCCCCTGTGTGTGTCTGCACATCACTAACAGACAGATAGTGGACACGAAGCCAGCCAGGGTCAGATCAATAAGGACAGAGGCTCAGAAGGGAATAAAGAGGTAAAATATCAACTCGATACCGAAGAGCCATACCTTGTAGGGTCTTCATTGAACGCAGAAGGGTTTTAAAGTGAACTCAAAACCTGTCAGGAAGTCAGTGCAAGGACCCCAGGACAGGAGTGATGTGCTCACTGCCACATGCACTCTCCATCAGATTCTGAATGTCTTGTTAAGTGCCGTGTGAGACACTCCCGCAAGAAGGGTGCAGCAATAGCCAGTCTTCGAAGAAGCAAAAGCAAAGGACCACTTCCTCAACGAGGAACACAGGCAACGCGGAACAAATCCGGGCAGTGTTTTCAAGTTGAAAAATCAATGTCTGCAGAGTATTCTGCGCCCAAGTTACCCCACACTGCTTTTCTCCAAACCTGCTGGGAGGAGCCAAATAGCATGAACTAGCATGAGTCTCATCATGGTTGAGATAAAGAATTGTCCTCTGAGCTTCAATCTGAGAGAGTGTTGTCAGTGCTACCTGGATAGCTTGATTAATTGATTCATGTGCACACAGATGTGAGTATCAACTGGGTAAGTAGAAGGGATTAGTAATGGTAATTTAGAAAATATACTTGTAGGCTTTACTTGTACTGTACGTGTATCATCCGATCACCCAGATGAAACTGCAGTATAAAATAGTCACACCTCACGCCTGAAGAAAGCTTCACAGCCGAAACGTTGTGTTTTCTCTCTTCTCTTTTCAGCAGGAATAAACCTGTAACTTGTTCCTCTGCAGAATACTCATGCTGACGCAGCTCCCCACCTGAACTACTATAAAATCTAGTGCTATTTACAGACCCAGGATGTCATGGCTTGTTTCTGTTGGGTAAAGCAGAATTTATAGACAGTTGATATGTTAGCCTGAACGATCTTAAACACTTTGATATTTAATTAGACTCCCTAAGGCCCAAAACACTTGTAATGTTTACAAAGGGAGATAATCTGTACTAAAATCAGCTATTTAAGGTACATGAGAGATGTGGGTGACATCTTTGAGATCAACAGAAATGGTCAGGGACTGTATGTTCAATAACAAGGCAAACTGAAGTAACCTCTTTCCACCGTCAAAATAACTTTTACTAGCAGTTATGAAGTTCATAACCCATTGATTTATGAACAAAACGAATACCCTGTACAACTTCCCAAGACAAAAAAAAAAAACGTTGATTTAAATGTTATTTAAAAATAAACGTGACCTTGCTTCAGAACTGTTATTTGATTACAAAGTCCTCATGCAATGCAGAAAAAGAAAACCTTTTCACGTACCGGTCACTTAAAGTCACATACTGGTGCATAAAAAGAAAACTGGTGGGCGATTAAAATCTATGTCATTAATGATAAGAACGACATATTAACGAGGTGCTGTGTTTAACCGCCCGGTTTGTTTACAGGCTCACCTGTGTGAGTGCCGTACCAGCGCGACACCGACCGCAGGCGCTTCCGCATCGAGGTGCTCTCTTCACAGTCATCTGACCAATCCGGCTCTTCCTTTCTGACTGAAGCGTCTTCTCCTTTGAGGAATTGCAGACTTGCCCCCCCCTTTCTGATGAACAGTTTCGTGTTTCAGCGAATGGTGAAATAAAATTAAAAAAAAAAAATTCTACAATCGAGAGCGCTTGAGGGAGACATGCTGCCCAGCCTCCAGCCGGCATGCGAAGCACGACAGCGGACTGACTAGGACCGACCGCGGTGCGCTTGATCTCCGACATGGACTTCGGCTGGGCACTCGTCGTCGGCTTGTTGGTCTCATCAGCATGCTTCTTCGAAAGTTGGGGTGCCGCGATTCAGGTGGCATTTCTGTGTACCTGGTGGTGGTTTGGGTTCACGGTTACCCCGAAGGACAGCCTAGCCGAAACAAGCACTCAGACGGACGCGGCGGTGGAGACGCTCGGCACGGTAAGTTGCAGATAAAACCGGTATCTGCTTAGTACGAAAGCAGCGTTTGTTCAGCTACTGAAACTTTATGTAGCTGCACTGATCACAGAGCCTAAAAAAAAAACTACTGCCTCCCTCATACTGGAGAGATGGCAGTACTGTGCGGCTGTGCTGTATGTACAAAGTTCAGAATGACAAAATCTTATCTACTGAGAAATGCTTTTTAAAATTATGCGGAACGCCTGATTTTAAAAAAAAAAACACACGAGTTGTTGCTCTGTGTTTCCATGTCGTATGCTATTCAGCCAAATGAAAAATTATTTACCCATCTTTGTACTGCGTTTATAGAGGTTACTCATACTGATACAGATGATCTTCACTTCCTCAAGATGTACCCAGTACGTTACTCTGTGTGTTAAGCCTGAAGTCGAATTTCTCTGTTGAAAAATAGCTCTTGTGGGTTTCCACAGGAAACCGAGGGTGAAGAAAGCATGACTTGCATTGTTGAGACTGACTCTAGGATCCAGGCTCTGTGCCCGCAGGCTGACTACCCAGTGGTGAAGACTGCTCTAAGGCAGGGTAGGCTGTTGCCCCAAGTGTTTGCTGAACAAGTCACCCCTGAAGCTTCACTGGGGCATTTATAACATTGAATGTTCTTTGTGTTCTTTGTGAACCATCTCACAAAAATCTCACACTTGGTACT